GGGCAGAGGAGAGGCCCTTAGAAAGCATGTCTGGGAGGCGGGGGGTGGGGAGTAGCTGGAGAGCAGCAGGGAGTGCAAGGATGTCAGGGAGAAGATGAGAAGGCAGAGGGAGAGAGACCCAGAGAGGATGGGAGAGAGGGGCACGTACACACACCCAACAGAGACCCAGAGAGAGTGGAAAGAGAGGCGGTGAACCAGGAGAGAGAGAAGCCCAGAGGAAGTAAGAAAGACCTGTGTGGATAGAGGGGTCTTGAGGGGCAGGATACGGAGAAAGGAAGAGAAACCCAGAGAGTGGGAGAGGTCAAGAAAGAGACTTCTCTGCCCAGAGAGAGGAGAGACACCAGTGCTGGGATAAAGAGAGAGGGAGAGCAAGAGTGTGGAAGCATGACTGAGACCCGCCCAGACAGAGGGACGGATGTGGCTGAGAGCCTGAGAGACACGAGAAATACAAGGACCAACAGGGACAGAGATCAGTGAAAAAGGGATCTGGCAAGATGAGATCTGAGTGGGAAAGGGCCAGATGTCAAGCACAGAGGAACACGATAGGAGTCAGAGAGGAAAACACATTTACTAGAAAGAGAGACAAAAGACCAAAAGAGGAAGATGGAGGAAGGTCATGCCCAAAACTAGGAAGAGAGGAAAAGGTCAAAGATGGTGCAGAAGTAGGCGCACTCAGACTTCAGAGCCTGAAGGGACCCTCGGGGCTCTGATAGCCTCATGTGCACCCCAGGGACAGGGCTCACACATTGTAGAAAAAACAGAAGCTAGGATGTATGAGCACCTGTTGAGCACCTGCTGCATACTGGGCACTGGGCCAGGAGCCCCTGCACACTCATCTTCTTGCATCAGAGTTGTTTACTGTTGTGTTTTTTCACAAATCTTTATTCTCTGAGAATAGAGGTGAGGTTTCAAACTGCACACAGTAAGTGTTCAGGAATCCATTCATTGCAGAATGAACTTTTGAATGAACAAGTAGATAGCTGACTGCTTGTGCAACTGAGCCAGCAGACACAGGCACTCAAACGTGGCCTACAGGCTGACCCTGACTACCCCACTCTGGAGCAGGGCCAGAGTGTCGTGGGGGTGGACAACAGCATTAGTGGTGAGGGCTGGGGCTTGGGTGGTGGGGTCATGATGGACCGTCACCTTAACATTCTGTGATCATTTTTCCACTTCTGTGATCATTTTTAAAATATATTTTATTGATTATGCTATTACAGTTGTCCCATTTCCCCCCTTCATTCCTCTCCACCCTCCACACCCCTTCCCACCCATATTCCCCCCTTTGGTTCATGTCCATGTGTCTTAAGTTCTTTAGCTCCTACACTTCCCATACTACTCTTGCCCTCCCCCTGTCTATTTTCTATCTACTGTCTATGCTACTTATTCTCTGTACATTTTCCCCCATCTCTTCTCCTCCTGTTCCCCTGTTGCTAACCTTCCACGTGATCTCCATTTCTGTGGTTCCGCTCCTGATCTAGCTGTCCTCTTAGTTTGCTTTTGTTTTAGGTGTGGTTGTTAGTAACTGTGAGTTTGTTGTCCTTTCACTGTTCATCTTTTTTATCTACTTTTTCTTAGATAAGTCCCTTTAACATTTCATATAATAAGGGCTTGGTGATGATGAACTCCTTGAATTTGACCTTATCTGAGAAGCACTTTATCTGTCCTTCCATTCTAAATGAAAGCTTTGCTGGATAGAGCAATCTTGGATGTAGGTCCTTGCCTTTCATGACTTGGAATACTTCTTTCCAGCCCCTCCTTGCCTGTAAGGTCTCTTGAGAAATCAGCTGACAGTCTGATGGGAACTCCTTTGTAGGTGACTGTCCCCTTATCTCTTGCTCCTTCTAGAATTCTCTCATTTCTTTTAATCTTGGCTAATATAATTATGATGTGCCTTGGTGTGTTCCTTCTTGGGTCCAACTTCTTTGGGACTCTCGGAGCTTCCTGGACTTCCCGGAAGTCTATTTCTTTTGCCAGATTGGGGAAGTTCTCCTTTATTATTTGTTCCAATAAGTTTTCCACTTGTGGCTCTTCCTGTTCCCCTTCTAGTACCCCTATAATTCAGATGTTGGAACATTTAAAGATGTCCTAGAGGTTCCTAAGCCTCTCCTCATTTTTTTGAATTCTTGTTTCTTTCTACCTTCTGGTCCATTCCATTGATTTGAGTCCCAATTTCTTTCCCATCACTATTGGTTCCCTGTGCATCTCCCTTCATTTCAGTTAGTGTAGCCTTCATTTTTTCATCTAATTTGTGACCAAAATCAACCAGTTCTGTGAGCATCCTGATCACCAGTGTTTTGAACTGTGCATCTGGTCGGTTGGCTATCTCTTGGTCACTTAAAAGTATTTGCTCTGGGGCTTTGATTTGTTCTTCTGTTTGAGCCATAATTTTTTGGTCTAGTTGCACCTGTTAGGTATGAGGGGTGGAGCCTTAGATGTTCACCAGGGCGGGCAACCCAGTCACTGGGTTGTGATGCTGTATGTGGGGGTGGGGTCAGAGAGGGAATAATGGCATTTGCTTCACTCTCTCTCGGATTTTAGTTCCTTCTGCCACTTCCCACAGGCAAAGTGGCCCACAAGCAAAGGGCCATGGTCCCTTCTGGTGCTGGTTCCTGGGTGGGTGGACTTGTGTACATTCTAGGACCTTGTGGGTCTTTCCAATGGATTCTCCTGTGAGGCTGGGAGTCTCTCTTGGCACCTAACCCCCCCCCCCAAGTTTTTTCAATCAGTGCTTTGAGGCTTTATTTCCCATTACTGGGGCCGTGGTCTGTCTCACTGCCTGTTTTGGCCTGGTTTATCTGTCATGAATGTGTGACCGAGGTCAGCCAGCCGCCTTGCACGCACCTTACTGGGTCTGACCATTGCCACCCCGTGCCTGGGGTCTGCCAATGGCCACCTATGCACGTGGGTCTGCCAGCCGCTGCTTTTTCCTTCTGTGACCCCTTTTCACTGGCCGCTGACTCCGCCCCTCTTACTGATCTAGATGAGTGATTGTCAGACTTCTGTACAGTTTAATTTTCTGTCAGTTCTGGTTGCTTTTTTTGTTTCTAAATTTTTTGTCCTTAATTTTGATTGTGTGAGTAGGCACAGTGTGTCTACCTATGCCTCCATCTTGGCTGGAAGTCTCCACTTCTGTGATCTTATTGGATGTTAGTCATGCTTGCAAACACTTTACCTTCATTGCCTCACAGCAATCCTGTGACATAGCCATGAGTATGATCTCATTTTATAGAGGAGGAAACTGAGGCTCAGAAAGCATAAGTTACTGTCAAAGGTCAGATATCTAGCGGGACTGAAGAGTCAACATAACACTAGAACTGAGCTCTTATGTGATCCTGTTTCCTCCAGAGTAGTGGTACCTGGTATTTGTCCATGGCATTTTGGCTGCTGTGGCTTTTGCAAATGTAGCATATCATTGTCCTCCTGACAGCTTACTAGAAAGAGTTGTAGGACCAGAGCTGTTATTCCCATTTAAGAGATAAAAAACAGGAAGAATGGAGGGGTGTGTGTAAAGCACATGCTCACGTGGAGCAGACTCCCAGCTGGAACCCGGGAGCTTAGCCCAGAACACAGTGCTGGTAAGAGATGTCCACTAGTGTCTGGATGGACCACACCTCACTGAGAAAGTTGTCTGGGGGTGAGTGGTGCCTGGCTGGAGCCAAACAGGATGCCCAGGGAAGGACATCAGGAGGACAGATTTCAGGACTCTTGAAATAGTGTATATGAGTTTCAACACGGGCCCTAGACATTGACATTGGGCAAGTTACTGAACTATTCTCTGCCTAAAGTGGAGATAATAATAATTGTATCTTTTTAGTATTTTATGAGAATTAAATGAATTAACATTTCTAAACCACTTACAACAATCTCAGTGCGTAGTAAGAATTTGATGTGTTGTTAAATAAATAAGTGAAATAAGGCAGGAACGATGATCGTCACCATCATTATCCAGAACCCAGCCAGGAATGGGCCCTGGACTACTGAGCTCTAGAGGAAATCAGAACTCTGGACAGCTCCCCGAGCTTCAGCTCCACCCCATTGGTTCACCTGTCAAGGTCTTTGGCAGTGAAATGGATCCCCTCCCTTTACTTCTGGTTGTCATAAGCTTGAGGATTCTCCTTACCATTCTTTAATGTCTATTCTATGAGGGACGACACAAAGCTGTACCAGGAAGCCCTTCAAAGAGAGAGGAGGGCACATTCCTGGGGGGATTGTTTTTGAGGAAATACCTCTTTCTGGGGTGAGAGACTTCACCTGATGTGTGGGACTGAGGGGCTTGTATTCAGTTTGGCTAGGCAACGTGGCCGGCCCCAATGATTTCTCTCAGAGTAATCACTAAGCTCAGACTGGGAAAGAGCCAGGATGGAGACAGGGGTGAAGGAGGGTTAGGGGAGGGGAGTGAAGGCATTGATAAGTTCATAAGATTGCAATGTGGGCTAAGGGTCCCACAGAGCTCGGGGCTTGCTTAGAACCAGAATTCTTCTGCTCTTCCAGTTTCTCTAGAGCTGCCCCTGCCCCACAAAATCCTGGCCACTTGGTACTGATGGCAACTCCCTTCTCACATGAGGAAATAACCATGCTGTCTCTCATTTATGGCCACCTCCGTGCACCAAGACCGTCATACCCATTATTTCTTTTAGTCCTCACAGCTCTGGGAGTGAGACATTTCCAGTCCTATGATAGAAAAACTGAAGCTCAGAAGGCAAGTAACTTACTCAAAGAGACATTGCTAGCCGTGGAAAAGATCCCCCCTGCCCCAAACACACTTCTTTTTAAGAAATACTGTTCTCAAGGATAACAGTGGAAACTTCTGTGGGTTTTTTAGCCTCTCTCATGACTTTACTGCAGTGGAAAATTCCTGAATATCTTTAAAAACCTGTCATAACTATTGACGCTTCAACTCAAAGAGTGAAATACGAACTTTCTCGGATGTAAGCTTCTGTCAGGGCTTCCTGTACCCAGCCCTCCCTGTTCATGCCCATCTCTGCTCCTTTCCCCAGAGGAGGTGGCTGAAGGGAAGAACGCCATCCTCATCGGGATGAGCCAGTGGAATTCGAATGACCTGGTGGAGCAGATGGAGACCATGGGCAAACTGGAGGAGCACCAAGGTGAGGTTCTGCTTCTGTCATGGCCGGGCTGTGTACACGTGTTCCTTGCAGGGCGGGTTGAAGGGCTGGCCATTTGGTGCTAGGACTTGGGTCTTCTATGAAGAGTCATTTGTCTGGGCACTTCCCCTCCCTGAGCCTGTGACCCCTGAATTCTGGGACCTGCAGGAACCCTCGTGGGGACCTCTGTGGGGTTTTCTGTGGCAGAACAGTTCCAGGGGACTTCAACAGAACATCCTTTGTCTCTAGGAGCATGAGTAACTTAGGGTGGGTGGTGGGATCTAAGCCCTGCCAGGCCGATGATGTTGGAATCTTTATTGAAGTGAGGTGGCAACTGGAGGAGCCTTTGAGAGGGCACAGAGGAGGGAGGCAGCAGTGGGGGTTGTGGCTTTTGGGGCTGAGTTGGTGAAGAGGGAGTATGTGGCTGGAAACTAATCCCTGAGGCTTTTTATGGAGAAGAGTCTTGACCAGGAGATTAATCAGCAGACAAAGCAGGCATATCCTGTGAGGCACCCACCCATCTGTCCATTTGCCCACACTGCATCACTAACAGAACGTCTGTTCAGGATCTACTGGGTGTAAAGTGCTTGTAGGAGGGACCAAGGGTGACTAAGCCAAGACCTCTGACATGTGATGTGTCTCACAGTGTAAGTCAAGACATAAGGGAGTTGGGCTTCACCTGAGGGTTATTGGGCCCAGAGGGGAGAGGCAGGTATTTTGGAAGAAGGGAGGAGAGGGGGACTCAAGGAAGGTCTTGACAATGAAGCCATAGACCAGGCTTTGAAAGGCAAGTGGGGGATGTAACTGAGGTGACATATGGGGAAACTGAGGCTCGGAGAGGATCTGTACATGATTGTAGTGCACCTGGAATGAGGCACAGAGCTAGGGCTAGAACTGCTCAGGATCTAGGGTGCTAACCTCTGTACGTGCTGTCCCAAGGCCAGTTTTTTCTCTCCCTCCTCCCCACCCTGTGTATCACTCCTCTCATTTCTCATCTTCTTCATCTCTCCTTTTCTTCCTCTCCTGGCCCTGTAATTCCTCAGTCATGGTCTGGGAAAGGCCAGCCTATCAGGAGCTGTTCAGTGAGACGGTCCGGGCCCAGCCCAACAGAGAGACGCATCTCGATGCTGGCCCCCTGGTTGCCGGCTGTCTTAGCTGTAGGCTCTGCTTCTTTCCTCACCCCCATCCTGCCTCCTTGGTTTTCAGCCCTCCCCACGCCGAAGCAAGTGCCCACGCTGAGAAATGGACAGGGCGGGGATGAAGGTTCCATTTTACAAATGAAGAAACCCAAGGCTCAGAAAAACTCTGTCTGGCCCGAGGTCCTCCAGGTTGGTGGCAGCACCATGCTGAGATCCCCCGTCTCTTGATTCCCAGACCAGGGCTTCCCCTCCCATAGTTCTGGGCCCCTGCAAAGTCAGATCCAAGAAACCCAGAGTCTTCAAGGAAACTCTCTGCAACCCCCGGCCACTGCCACATTCAAAGGAAGGGCAGACTCTGAGTCCGGTCATCAAGGCGAGTCCAGGAACAACTGCCCAGTCTTCACAGGCACATGTTTGCAGATGGACTCTTGTCTGCTCTTTCCTACGCCCCAGGATCCCTGGAAAGGGCCCAGAAGGGGTGCTGAGTTCCAGGTGCTTCCCCAGAGCGGTGCCTGGTAGCCATGAAAAGACAAACCCAGACTTGTATTCGGCACCCATCTGGTCATCCATTTCCCACCACCACCCTCACTTGTCTGCCAAAAAATGTCTGACTCAGACACAGTGTTAGATAAGGAGTGGGTGATGGAAAGGCACTGTGACTGGGAGAGCAGGCGGGCAGGAGGCAGAGGGAGACTGTGGGAGAGGCTGAACAATGGCAGCTTTGGAATCAAAGAGGTCTGGGTTTGGAGGCTCACCCTGTCAGTCTGTGGCTTCAGGGCCAGGGAAAGTCACAACACCTCCCTGAGCCTCAGTGTCTTCATCTGCAGAGTAGGGCTAGTACAAAAGCTGTGAGAATTTGAAGAGCTAAACTTGCAAATTGCATTCGATAACAGGTCGTTAGAATGCTGGAAGAGGGAGAGGAGAGTGGACGGTTGTGCACAAGTATAATTCTAGCAGATGCTTCCTGGTCCTCATGAGAGGTTGGGTCAGGGGCTGCGCTCTCCTGAGCTGAGAACTGTGGCTGTTTCCTCCCAGCATGGAATGGGGAGCAGGAGGGAGAGAGAGGAGAGTGGGAGAGGAAGAGGGAACCAGAAGTGTTTCCAGCTCCTTCTGAATCTCATTCCCTGGGGCATTCATAATGTGAATTCCCACAACACGACGGAGCACACACATTAATTTCATTCATTTCAGCAGTCATTTATAGAGTCATGACAGAGGCTCAACCCTGTGCTGGAAGTGGAGTGGGGGAGAATAAGCAGGAGTGGGCTGGCATTGGCACTCTCTCAGGAGCTCACAGCAGAGAGGAAGACGATGTAATCAGGCTGAGGAAGGGGCCCAAGGAGAGGCTCGGGGGCTCTTTGAGGGAGAGGAAGGTCTGCAAACACTTAGTGGGAAAGGCTAAAATCAAAACTGGTGGTGTAGATAGAGCTCTGCCCCTGCCTCCTTCAAGTTTTCTCCTCTGAAGCATGGGGCTCGACGCTCTTTTATGGCTCAGGCTCTGGCCCATCACAGCCCCTTCGGCACTGAAGCCCAAGCCCGTGTCCGGCTAAGACCTCTCTCCTGGGTCCTGGACTTAGATTTCCAGGATCCTCCCACTTACCTTCACCTGGGTGTTCCAAGGACTCTTCACGCTCTACAAGTTCCTGCTAAACCCTAGTTATATTTTAGTCCATCTTTTATATCCTCAGCCATTTAAAGCGTATGTTAGCGTATGGCGCTTTGAGACTGTTCTGCTTTCCTCAGTTTTGGAGGGTGCTCATCCTGGCTGTTTGTGTATGTGTGTGTATGTGAGTGCATGCTGTGTGTCTTGGATTTTGTTTCACTTTTGTATTGTGAGCTCACCCAGGTCCCTCCTTTGTTCGTGGGAGTCGCGTGTGCTCTAGGGTATGGACGCGTACTTCTAGGAGACTGGCCTCGTGTGTCTGCTGCGCCCGAGTGTCTCTCTAACCCTGGGTATGCTATATGCTCAACTTACAGTTTAGTGTTTCCATTCTAGAGGAGGGCTATAGATTTAGACCCCACACCCGTATGTGGCAGAAGCTTAGGGTTTTAATTACTCACGTGTGACTTCTTTCTTTTTCGCCATCTGTGAGAAGTTTCTTTGCTGCATCCCCAAAGGAGCGGTACTTTTCTGAACTGCCTTTACAGATGGAGCAGACCTTCAGCAATCCCTGCTGTTCTGGGGGCTGCACTTTAGCTCCTCGCCACCTCCCACAGGCTGAGGCCCAGTCTGTGGAGTTAACGGTGTGGGTTTCAGCCTCTAGTCCTCAAGCCTCTGCCCATCTGGATCTTCCATGGGTCTCCTCCAGCTCAGCTCCTGCTTTCTTCCTGGGTAGCAATTCCCTCGTTGCTTCTGGCACTCGTATATGCTCCATTCATTATTCTGAGCTTGGTTATATATTTTACATTTTGGAGTAATGTATTTCCCAGTGTACGTGTGGTTTAATGAAGGGGATCCTGTAGCATCGGTTCAGTTCATTTTATTTATTATTTTACAATTGCATGTGTTGTTATTTTTATTTAATGTTTTTAATTTGGTAAAATATACACAATGTAAAACTTAACACTTTAACATTTCCAAGTGCGCAGTTCAGGGACATTAAGTATATTTATCTTGTTGTGCAACTATAAATCATCCATTTCCAGGACTTTTTCACCATCCCAAACTGAAACCCTGCACTGCTGAACGTGAGTCCATTCCCTACTCTCCCTGAGCCCATGGTTCCTGCCCCTCCACAGTCTGTCCTATCACTTTTACTGCCCCGGGACCTCATGGAAGGGCAGTCGTCCAGTGTTTATGCTCTGAAGTCTGGTTTGTTTCACTCAGCACAGTGTCCTCAAAGTTCACCCATGTTGTAGCACGTGTCAGAATTTCCTTCCTCTTTAAGACTGAATAATATCGCTTTGTGAGTATCTGCCATAATTTGTTTATTTAGTCACCTACTGGGGGCCATGTTTCCGCCTCTAGCTATTGTGGATAATGCTGCTATATAGTACACACTAGTGCACAAATAGTCACCTTATTTTTGAACACAAAAATTCTTACTGCAAACAAAGTCTCCCTTCTCTACTTTCCATTTCAGACCTTACTGCTGAGTTTAGCAACGTGGAGGGTGTCTCTCTAGCAATAAATCGTATTATGTGTTATTGCTGCCACTTGGCTTTTATTTTTCATTAATAGTAGATTTTGGAGAGCTTTTCCTGTGGACATATAGATTCAACTCATTCTTTTTACCTGTACTATAACCTCTACAATGGATGGACCACCATTTATTGAACCATTCTGTAGTGATAGACATTGGAATTTTTCATTATTTAAAAAAAGCTAGGTGGGTTGAAAGCATAAGCATCGGCAGCTGTAATAGATACTGCCAAAGAGCTTTCCCTGGAGACGGTGCAGATTCACGTTCACACCAGCTGTGGACCAGGTTAGCCATTTCTCCACGGCGTTGCCACATTTGATCTCATCACATTTGAACATTTCACCTGATTGGTGGGTGAAGATACTTTTCTGTTGTTTTGTTTTGTCTTAGTCCGATTGCTAGTGAGATTGATCATCTTTTCATAAGTATGTTGAGCAAACGCCTTTTCTCTTTTCTGAATTTCTTAAACATGCTTTTTTGCTCGTCTTCTGTTGGATTATGTCTTTTTCTTATTGCTTTTTTAGGAGTTCTGTACATATCTCCTGGATATAAATCAGTCGTCTGCTATATATTTAAAATATTTGTCTCTTAAGTCATGCCACTTGGCTGAATTTTTCTTAGGGCTAATAGTTCGTCAGTTGGCTGTCGAGTTTTTCGGAGTGTCGTATCGTTCTCAAATCTTCACAGTTCTATTCTTGCCAATACATGCAGTGCTTGCTTG